TACCAATTCCCTAGGTACTTCTCAGTCTAATCAAGTCAATAATTAAGATGAACCACCACACTGAGTAATTTTTGAAGAACAGTAATTTGTTTTCTTATAGTTTGGGAGGCTGTGAGTTTAAAATCAAGGTGCTGGCAAGTTGGGCGTCTGGTAAAGGCCAGTCTTTGTCTCTAAAAGGGTGATTTAACTCCGTGTTCTTGCATGGCAAAAAAAAGGGAACAAGCTACTCTCTCAAGCCCCTTTGTTGTTGTTGTGGTTGTGGTTGTTTGTGGTACTGGGTTTGAACTTAGGGCCTATACCTTGAGCCACTCCAACAGCCCTTTTTTGTGATAGGTTTATTTGACATAGGGTCTTATGAACTATTTGCCTGGGCTGGCTTTGAACCATGATCTTCCTGATCTCTGCCTCCTGAGTAGCTAGGATTATAGGCATGAGCCTCCAGCACCTGGCTAGCCCCTTTGTAAGAATACCTAATTCCAGCAGACATTTTTGCTGTAATCCCAGCTACTCAGGAGACAGAGGTGGGAGAATCATGAGTGTGAGACCAGCCTAGATAAAGTTAGTGGCCTCTATTTCAAAAATAAAATACAAAAAACCCCCAAAAGAGCTGGTGGTGTGGCACAAATGGTAGAGTGCTTGCATAGCATATGCAAGGCCCTGGGTTCAGTTCCCAATACCACACACAGACACAAAGAATGTACCTAATCTCATTCATGATGGGAAAATTCTTCACGAATAATCACCTATCAAAGACCACACCTCTCAGTTTATTATATCAGTGATTAAGTTTTGATGTGATTTTTAAAAAATTACTTTGCAGTACTGGAGATTAAGCTCAGGGCCTCATGCATGTTAGGCAAGTGCTGTACTACTGAGTTATATGCCCAGCTTTCAGCATTATTTTATTTATGTTTTTGGTGGGACTGGGGTTTGAACTCAGTGCTCTACTGCTTGAGACACAGCTCCAGTCCATTTTTGCCATTTTGAAGATGGAGTTATGAGAACTGTCTCCCCAGACTGACTTTGAACCTTGATACTACCAATCTCTGCCTCCCAAGTAGTTGGGATTTATAAGTGTGAGCCATCAGCACCCAACTTCAACATTAGTTTTTGTAGGGGATCCTACAAACCGTGCCACCCTGCCCCAAATACTAGTTGCTTTTTAGACCCAAATGCCAGTTTTTATTTATTCCATGTAACAACACTTGCTTCTTTTGAGCTCTGTTTTTGTGTTATGGTTTAGAAAATACCCATAGGGACATTTTTACTGGATGTAAAGTTCAAGATTTGTTTGTTGGTCTGGGCTTTTTTCAGTGCTTTTAGAATATGCATCTTCTTTCATGTGTGCCTTTTTTGAGTGACTGTAGCTCTGTGGTAGTTGTATCCAATGCCCGAAAATTACTGTTCTGTGTATTTTGTTGAGCTTTTATTGTTTACCTCTCTAAGTTTTGAAGTCATTGCTTTTTAGTGATACAGTCACAAAGTCCAAAGGCCTTCTGTCTGCTTAGCAGAATGTGACCTGTGCTGTTCTCTTCTGAAATTCATATACTTTTCTCCTTGTACCCAGGGTTCCAAAGTTTCCTGATTTTTTTTTTTTTTTTTTTTTTTTGGTGGTACTGAGGTTTGAACTCAAAGCCTCACACTTGTTAGGCAGATGTCTACCACTTGAGTTACTCTACCAGCCCTTTTTCCATGTTGGGTTTTTTCAAGATAGGGTCTTAAGAACCTTTTGTTTTGGCCCAGGCTGGCTTTTAACTGCGATCCTCCTGATCTGTCTCCTGAGTAGCTAGGATTGCAGGTGTGAGACACTGACACCCAACTGATTAATTATTTTCTTGATCCATTTTCCTCCTTTTGCTGAAATGTCAAAATGTATTTCCATCCCTTTTTTTTTCTCTCCATATTGAATGTAGGCCATTTTATTGCCAAAGACAGCAATGATTGCAATGTGATAACTGGTTCTTAGGCTACATCTCCCATGTGACCTAAGATATCTTGCTGTTAGTACAAATGGAATCATATTAGTCACAGTAACTTAAATGGCTCTTATCCCAGCCACTGTAGCAGGTTTACACCCTGTAAAATATTTCTGGGAGTCTCCAGGAGGCATTAGCCATGTGCTCATAAATTAACTCTCTCCAGCTTGGCACTGCTATTGCTTTACCACCTCCATAGGGAACTATTTGGGTCCTGCTAGTTCCTTCTGGGTCAAATGCCATGTATCTGAGTTGTGCATCCTCCTGATAGTGCCTTTGGTGCCCCAAAGTTTTCACAGAATCAGAGTTGTATGGATTGTGTAAGGTAGAGGAGACTGTCCTTTTTCCCTAGAGCTTGGTGTCATGCTGACTAGACACTAAAGGGATCACAAGCACCCCAAGCTTCTCACCAGAGTATTTTTCCTTTTTTTTCGGTGGGACTGGACTGGGGGTTTGAACTCAGGGCTTCGCATTTGGAAAGCAGGCACTCTACCACTTGAGCCACACCTCTAGTCTGAGAGCTTTTTTCTTTTTATGGTACCTCCTCTCTGTAGAACTCAGATGTGGGTCCTTTGGGGTGTGGGAGTGTCAGTATTAGATTTAGTCAACAGTTACTGAGCAATTACTATGGGCTTAGCAGTAGTAAGCCCTTGTACAATTTTTTTTTTAGTGATACTGGTGTCAGAGGGGGTTTGAACTCAGGACTTCACACTTGCTATGCACTTTACCACTTGAGCCACAGCCCCAGTCCTGCATTTTTTTCTTTAAGGCTTATTCTGTAGGCCTTAAGCTGAATTCTTTTTTTAAATTTTTCTTAGGATATATTGAAAAAGTTTCATTGTGGTATTTCCATACATGTATATAATATACTTTGATTGGATTCACCCCCTCTATTGCTTATTTTTGTCGCTCCTCATTTCCATCCTTTTAATAATTTATCTTTTTTTTAGTGTTTAATGTATATTTTAGCAAATTTTAATCAATATTTGTTTTTCTCCCTCTACAACTCTGAAGTTGCAGGCATCCAAAACTTAGTTATAGCTTATCGTTCAATACTTCCTTTCCCCATTCCGTATTTGCTCATTTGAACATATTTTGCCAACTTGTTCATTGTTACTTCTGAGTAATTCTTGCTAGGTTTAGTTTTATTTTTAGAGTATGGCTTTTAATAATAGTAATAATTTCTAACACTTATGTGACATTATGTACCAGTAACCATTCTAGATGAGGGCTGTTGCTCGCAATTCAAATGACCTACTGCTTTGTTTTTGTAGGACCCACATGCTAAGGCTGGTTTTTACATTTTTAAATAGTTGGGGGAAATTTGAATAGTATTTTGAAAATTATATGAAATTTAAATTTTGGTGTTCATAAGTTTTATTGGAACACACTCATGACATTTGTTGCATGTTGTCTATGCCTGCTTTTTTTTTTTTTTTTTTTGAGACTTGGGTCTGAACTCAGGGCTTTGTGCTTACAAAGTAGGCACTGTACCACACCACCAGTCCATTTGCCCTGATTATTTTTGTTGTTATTGTTTTTCATTTGCAGTACTTGAGCTTGAACTCAGGGTCTACACACAGAGTCACTCCACCAGTCCTTTTTTGTGAAGGGTTTTTTCAAGATGGGGTCTCACAAACTATTTGCTTGGGCTGGCTTCGAACTGCGATCCTCCTGATCGCTGCCTCTTTAGTAGCTAGGATTACAGGCATGAGCTACTGGTGCCTGGTTGCCCTGGTTATTTTGGAGATGGGGTTTCTTGAACTATTTGCCTGAGCTGGCCTCAAATTGTGATTCTCCCAATCTCAGCTTCCCAAGTAGCTAGGATTATATGCATGAGCCCTGGCACCCAGCCTATGCCTGCTTTTGTGGTAGGGCAACAGAGTTGATTAATTTCAGCCCAGAGTACATATAGCTTACAAAATCCAAAATATTTACTAGTACACCCTTTATAAAAAAGTTTGCCACCTCTTATTCTAAATACTTTCAATACTTTGGAGATATTCCATTGCTTTCTGGTTTCCATTGTTTATTTTGAAAAATAAGCTATCAGTTTTACTGTATCTTTGAAGGCAATAGCTTTTTCTTGGATATTTAGCAGTTTATTATAATGTGCTTAAGGGTGAGGGGTTTGTATTTGTTCTTGTGGTTACTGGTAATTCTTTAAACTATGGTCTGATGTCAGCTGTTTGGGAAGATTTTTAGCCATTATCTCTTCAAATACTGGTTTTACTGCATTTTGCTTCTCCTAAAAGGACTCTAGTTGCAATTATTTAAGCCTTTTAACTTGTCCCATGTGTCTTTCAGGTTCTGGGATATGTTTTTCACCTTTTATTCTTCTATATTTCAGTATGAATTTTTTTTTACTGACACCTTTCAGTTCACTAGTTATCTTTTCAACTGTGTAATTAGCTGCAGGTTTTGTTGGGTTGGGTTTTTTTTGTTGTTTTTTTCTTTTTTTGACAGTACTGGGGATTGAACTCCAGGCCTTGCACTTGCTAGGCAGGCACTCTACCACTTGAGCCACTGTACCAGCTAAGTTGGTTTTTTGTTTATTGTTTTTGAGAGACAGGGTCTTGCTATGTAACCCCTGCTGGCCTCCAACTTGATCCTTCAGTCTCGGCCTCCTGATTGCTGAGATTATAGCTGTGTACCACCACACCCAGCTCTTGAGAGCTAACTATCAAATGTGATGGTGCCAGAGATATAGGGGAATCTGTTTAATGTCTTAAGTGTAAGTATTTTTGGAGTTACAACAAAACAAAGTGAATAAGGTGTGCAGTTGGTGTTACATATAATTTTCATGGTACTGACTTACAACATGGTAAGGATAAGTTTTCATATGTCCCTTTTTAAGATAGGGTTTCACTATGTTGCCCAGGGTGGGCTTGAACTTGAGACTCTTCCCCTTCCGCCTTCCATGTGCTGAGTCTAACAGGTGTACACTATCATGCCTGGATTTCATATTTCCTTTCTCTGTTACCAAGAACTGATCATTTTAGAATGAACAATATGCCATTTCAGGGATCAGTTTCATTCACGGATGTGACTGTGGACTTCACCCAGGAGGAGTGGGAGCAACTGGACCCCTCTCAGAGGATCCTCTATATGGATGTGATGCTGGAGAACTATAGCAACTTACTTTCTGTGGGTAAGGACAGCTCTTGGGTGTAGCTCACTGTTTGCCTAGTAGCATTTGTGTCCTTTCTCAGTTACCAAAAGTTAATGCACTTCTGAACTACTAAGTGCTGATGGTCTCCATGTCACTGGTTGAGGCTGAGAGAGTACAGCCTCTGATGTTATACTTTTTTTTTTTCTTGCAGCACTGATATTTGAACTCAGGGCCTCATGCTTAGAAGGCAGGTACTCTTACAGCTTGAGCCACTCTGCCAGCCCTTTTTTGTGATTTTTTTTTTTTTTTTTTGTAAGATAGAGTCTTGCAAGCTATTTGCCCCAGGGCTGGCTTCAACCCATGGTCCTCTTTTTTTTTTTTTTCATTTTTCTTTTATTATTCATATGTGCATACAAGGCTTGGTTCATTTCTCCCCCCTGCCCCCACCCCCATGGTCCTCTTGATCTCTGCCTCCTTAGTAGCTAGGACCATAGGCATGACCTACTGAGTATCTTTCCAACACTCTTTGTTTTCAAGGTTTCTGATGTCCAAGCAATTAGGACCTGTGTTCCATTTGTAAATTCTGATAGTGTGATCTTCAAGATCAACAGAGAGTTGTGGGTAGTATAGTTAGAATGACCAGTTCAGAATTTTCTAGGAATGATATAAAAGGAGAAAAGGGAAATGAGATAGAAACTGGTAGAAGTGATATCCCAGGGATTATGAACAACTGGTTCATTTTAATCAGGAACTTTTTTTTTTTTGTGGTACTGGGGCTTGAACTTGGAGCTTCATGCTTGCAAGGCAGGCACTCTACTACTTGAGCCACTCTGCCAGCCCTGGTACTTTTGAAATATTTTTCAAGAATGTAGTTTTTTGCTGGGCATGGTGGTATACAACTGTAATCTAGCAACTTGGGAGCCAGAGATCAGGAAGATTGTGGTTTGAGGCCACCCCGGACAAAAGGTAGCTAGACCTCCATCTCAACAAATAAGCCAGATGCCTTTCTGTAATCCCAGCTACAAGGGAGGTAGAGGTGGGATTGTGGCCCAAGGCAGCCCCAGACAAAAACATGAGATCCTATCTGAAAAAATAACTAAAACCAAAAAGGGCTGAGGACATAGTTCAGGTGGTAAAGCAACAGCCTAGTGAGTATGAGGCCCTAATTTGAAATCCTAACACCTTTAGACATGACTAAGAACAAATGACCTGAGTCATACCTCCAAATACCCATCTTTTCCTGCTTAACTTTTTTCCCCTATATATAAAAACTTGCCTAATACATTTTTTAAACCTTGGTGTTGTGATTAGTTGCTCTTTCATTAGTATTCAGTCTGCCAGAATGGTGACTTCCATATTTTAGTTCATGGAAATTGGAATGACCTCAGGGAAGATAGTTTTTTCAGTACAAGGGGCTGTGGCTCAAGTGGTAGCACCTGCCTAGAAGTGCAAAGCCCTGATTTTAAACCCCATTATTGCCAAAAAAAAAAATTTTTTTTTCTTTTAAATAACATCCTTGATGAAATGGCAGCAGAATCATAAGAGTCAGGAGTAGCCAGTAATATATAGGATGGCAGTAAAGATTATGAAGTAGGCCAGTGCTATGTAATTTGATCTTTAAGATACGCTGTGATAGAGCAGGGATATATTAAAAGGAGAGAAGCAGAAAATGATGAACATACACATTCATTCTCCTACAATTAAATAAAACGAAAGAAAATCCAGCACAGAGGTGATTCTGTTGTAAGAGTTTATAAATTCTTTTATATTTCCAACAAAATGTGGGTCCTGGATCTTGCCATCCGTTTGCAAAAGAATCTTTATAGACTTGGAGCACTGCAATAGGACTGCCACTAAAACCTGTGAGAGTGTCAGTCACTAACCTCTGATCTGCCTGGGTATTTCCAGAAGATAATATCTTCATCTACTTATTTTCTTAATCTCTCTGCCAACTTTTGTGTCTGTGAGGACACTGAATCTCCTTCATCTTTGGAATTGCCAGCCTTCCTGCATCAGCTGTTTGCTTTTTTCTGGGGTGGTGGTGGTGGTGAATAATGGGGCTTGAACCTAAGGCAATGCCTTAATGCTTAAGCATTTACAATGCTGGTAAGCACTCTGCCTCTTGAGTTATGCCCCCATCACTTGACCTTTGTTTTTATTTCAGTTTTTTTTCTACTTTAAGGTCATTTTGTCTTTTGGCACTGCTACTCGTGTACATTGTCAGTTTGTACTTTTTTATTTGCCATAAGCTTTTATATTTTTGTCTTTTTCTTCCAAAGTTTACATTTTTAATGCTGGAAGACCAGGTCCCAAACTAGAGTCAGATCTGAGATAGAACATTTGTGTGGACTCCCTTTCTGTAACATCAGAGAAAGGATTGACAAAGTGCATTTCATTGTGTTCTGTCTTAGAAGTGTGGAAGGCTGACGACCAGATGGAGAGTGACCACAGGAACCCTGATGAGCAGGCAAGGCAGTTTGTAATCCTCAAGAACCAAACCCCAGTTGAAGAAAGAGGTAATCTCTTTGGAAAAACATTTAATCTGAACACAGACTTTGTTTCTTTAAGACAAGTGCCCTATAAATATGATTTATATGAAAAGACTCTGAAATATAATTCAGACTTACTCAATAGTAATGGAAGCTATGCAAGAAAGAAAGGTGATGAGTGCAGTGGATTTGAAAAATCACTCCTATATTTGAAGCAAGAGAAAACCCACCCTGGAGTGGAGTACTCCGAGTATAATAAAAATGGAAAAGCTCTCAGCCATAAGGAAGTCATTTTTAAACATCAGAAAATTAAAAACTTGGTTCAACCTTTTGTTTGTAATTACTGCGACAAGGCCTTCTCCTTCAAGTCACTCCTCATTAGTCATAAGAGAATACACACTGGAGAAAAACCCTATGAATGTAATGTATGTAAGAAAACCTTCTCCCATAAGGCAAACCTCATCAAACACCAGAGAATTCATACTGGGGAGAAACCTTTTGAATGCCCCGAGTGTGGAAAAGCTTTCACCCACCAGTCAAACCTTATTGTACACCAGAGAGCACATATGGAGAAGAAGCCCTATGAATGCAGTGAATGTGGAAAGACATTCGCTCAGAAGTTTGAACTCACTACACACCAGAGAATTCATACAGGAGAGCGGCCCTATGAATGTAATGAATGTGCAAAAACCTTCTTTAAAAAGTCAAACCTCATCATACATCAGAAAATTCACACGGGGGAGAAACGCTATGAGTGCAGTGAATGTGGAAAATCTTTTATCCAGAACTCACAACTGATCATACATATGAGAACTCATACAGGCGAGAAACCCTATGAATGCACTGAATGTGGCAAAACTTTCAGCCAGAGATCAACTCTTAGATTACATTTGAGAATCCATACAGGAGAGAAACCATACGAGTGTGCTGAGTGTGGAAAGGCCTTCAGCAGGAAGTCCCGACTCAGTGTACATCAGAGAGTTCACATAGGGGATAGACCCTGAGGCTGCAACCAGGTTATACTGGAAAACCTCATGCCAGAATCCTTCCTTTGAGTCAGAAACCTCACAAAAGTACTCAAGAAACATGGGAATTTGTACTGGATACAATCTTAACTCAAATATGATCCCATAAGACTATTATACTGGAAGTTAGATATGATACACAGCTAAAGAATACAATCAGAATATATACGGTTGTAAATAGGCATACCCAGCTGTATTACACTGAGGTTCTTTTGGTATCCTTTTGTATGGTCTGGGGTTAGAAACCAGGGCCTCATGTGTGCTTGGTAGGGGGTCTACCATTGAGCTACATCCCAGCCCACAGTGAGCTTTTAAAAATGTTGAATGAATTGAATATTCTGGGCAGCACCATAAAGCATATATAGACAGTACCCTTGGAATTTATGTGTGAGTATGCCACAAAAGCACCAATTATGTTTTAAATCTGCACATGTGTAGTTAATAGTCACTGGGAGTTTGACATTCTTGTCTTCTGTGATAATTAGGAACAAGATTTTCCATACTAAACATCACATGTGTTTCAGCACCTTCCCAACCCATTTTAAAGTAGCATGTAGTGTGTGTTTTCTCCTACTGCTTGCTGGCATATGTACGTTGGTGTGACCATTTTTATTGAGCTGTCTCTTCACTAAAGAGATGGCAGTGTTGTTGGAGTCTTCACTTGCTTCTGGATTTGCAGATTTTCCAGATTTATATAAATATGCAAGTGTAAAGTAGTTAAGAGATCACATGAGTGAAAGGAGGCAGATGTGAACTGTGCATTACAGGACAAAAAGTGTGCCATAAATGAATATCCTCATCCATCATGACCTGGTTCTTTTTCTGTGGGGTGTTTACGTGCAAATGCATGTTTTCTACCAAAATATTCTGTAACCCAAAAAAATTAAACTTATTTTTGTGTGTTTCTGTTTCTAACAATTTATGAATTGTCTTGCAAAGAAAGTAGGGTGCTTACATAGCTCATAGATGTTACATTTCAGAAATTTTTAGAGGAAAAAAATTATTTTAAGGAAACTCAAGAATTGTCTGTTTCATTGCTTTTTAAATTTTTCATGTGCATAATTCACTTTAGAAATGAGTTTTGTAGTATCCTGTTTAAAGGACACATTTCTACTTCAACCTAAAGCATTTCCTGTGGAGCTTCACTTAGCATAAGCTGTTACCTTTCCCTTCAGTGTTCCCACTTTATAGATTAGCCTTCTTAGTGATTTTTCCATAATCTTAATGGTTAACATTGAAAATTATTTTTGCATAACTGAAAGATTGACATTTTAAAAGGCTTGCTTTCAAATTCACAAGTTCTGCCTTTAACAGATCATGCAATAGAGTTATAAATGGCACCCACAACTGCTTTTTTTTTTTTTTGGAAGATCATTGATGTACTTGATTTTATATGACTGTGAGTGACTTTCTTGGATAAAATTCACCAAGCCATCCGTAGCCCAGTAAGTCTTTGTCTAAGTTATGATCATTAGTAGATAACTACTAATGACAAGGAAACAGGGAAAGAAGTTAATTTCATACACTGCTGTTGGAATTGTAAATTGTAACAGCTTCCTTGGAGAACCTTGTGATTCTGTCTTTTAAGGATATATATACTTGTCAAACCAGGAATCTCACTCCTGGGAATCTGTTTTCTAAGAAAAAAATAAAGTGCCAGTACTTGAAATATTTATCAATATATATTGTCACTTTTTTTTTTTTTTTTTTGGTAAAGACCAAAAAAAAAAAAAAAAAAGGAATAATTGAATAAATTGTGGTAAAAATATACTGTGGCTGAATGGTGTTCCATTGAAAAAAACATGTAGACACAAACTCATTTGACTCAAGTCAAGTGAGGGGGAGAGCATACCAATTTTTAAAAAATAAAGATCTAAACAGCTTATATATGCATGTATTTGTACATGGTTTTATAGGCCTAGAGAATAAAATGCCATTGTACCTTCTGGAACTCATTAGCTGTATCAATGAGGGTTCCAGCAGGAAATTGCACTAACCCCATATTCTTTGTGAAAGGAAGAGATGAGGGAACAGTTAAGTGAACAACAGATGACAAGGCATCCAGAGACCAAAAACATTGGTAAGTGGTGTTTCACTAGGACCTAAAGGACAAAGAAGAAGCAGCATCTCCAGAGCCCTTGAGAGCCAAATCTTGAAAGAGGTTTGCTAAGTGATGACGAAGCCCTAGAGAGGCAGCGACTACAAGAAACAAAACCCAAGACTGGGGAAGGAAGAAGAAGCCTTACTCTCTTTTCTGCTTGTCTGTCATCCAACTTCTTGTTGGGTTTAGTCTGCAGGTGCCTCTGTTGACTGAACCCAACCAGAAGTCCAGGTGGCACAGTTCTGGGATAAAGCAGGGCGGAGAAGGTGAGGAGTCAGTACAGGGCAAGCAGCACAGCCAACAAACACGTTTCTCAGTCTTGCTGGTCCAGCCGTAGTGGGGCTTTCCCAGTAGGACCCTGCCTACGCTGTAACAGTCATCTTAATGACAGCCGCTTTCCCACTCGCGCTCCTGTGTGTGTGGGGGGAAGATAGGATGGCTCCACAGAACCCAGTTTCAGAGAAAACATAAATTTGGGAGTTATTGTATGGATAGACATAAAACTTGAATGGTTTTAAGCCATAAAACTAGGAGATATTACTTAGAAAAAGAGTATAAGGAATTTCATGGTTTTGGGAGGATGGGTGGAGCCTGCAGTGAACACCAAGAAAGAGCAACCAGAGTTAGGTTGAAAACAGGAGAGGGTAGTGTCCTAGAAGCCAAATGAAAAAATAGGTTAAGCGGAAGTGAGCACAGCATCCAATATTGATACTTAGTGTGTGCTGAGACTGAGAACAGAGAGGTTACTTTGATTAGAACAGTTTTAAAGAAATGATCCTGGCAAATCTAGGGGGGTTCCAGATCACATATGAAACAGGAAGTGCAGATAAGCAAAGTGTCCAAGAGCAGATTCTGAGATTCTGTCCTACATGCAAACTACTAAAGTAACTCAGTAGTTAAGTCTAACGACACACTGTATTGACCTGGAAGATGCCTGTGATAGTTATTCACAGCAATAGCAGTATCCAGGGTATCATTGTCTTGCGACACTTCTCCCAGGATGATATAGTAGGGGCCATGTGATACCTGCACACGTGCCTTACAGGAGAGAAACCTCAAGTTGGTCTCAGGGCTTCATGCTTCTAAGCAGGTGCTCTGCCATTTGAGCCACCCCTCCAGTTCATTTTGCTGTGATTATTTTGGAGATGGGGGTCTCATGAACTGTTTGCTAGGGGTGGTCTCAAACTGATCCTTCTGATCTCTGCCCCCCAAGTAGCTGGGATTATAGGCATGAGCTACCTGAGCCCATCTGGGAACCAGAATCTTATAATGGGCTGTAAGCAAACCTCTCCAACTGTTGTCCCAAAGAGAGAAATCCTCTTTACTGTGCTAAATGTGCTCTCTCTGAAGAGAGACTATCGGTCTTCTAAGGCTGTTCACTATTTACATCCTCAAAGATAACCTGGAACAAAGGCCAGCATTGCTTATACTTTTAAGACAGGCAGAAACCCAGGGAGAAGTGTCTCCTAATAGAGAAATGGGTGGGTGGCTTTAAGATGTGGCCTCAAGAGGCCTTTTTATGTTAGAAATGGTAGAGTGTTTATAAATTCACAGAAATGATCAATAGAAAGAAAAGCCATGCTGCAAAAGAGAAAAAGAATAGAGTAGAGCTGGATGCTGGGTGGCTCATGCATGTAATCCTGTCTACTCAGGAGGCAGAGATCAGGAGGATCTCGGTTTGAAGCCAGCCTGAACAAATAGTTTGTGAGACTTACCTCGAAAAAAAAAACCCATCACAAAAAAAAGGCTGGTGGAGTGGCTCAAGGTGTAGGCCCTGAGTTCAAACCCTTTTGCAAACTGCAAAAAAAAAAAAAAAACCAGCCCAGCCTGAGCAAGACAGAGATTGGCTCCAGTGTGCAGTGAAAGATGTGAGCGTCAACAGGAAGAAGGCAGTATGTGGGCAGATGTAATGTAAGAGTTTATAACTATCATCTGGTTGCTTTTATCCCCTCCATTAGACAGAAAACAAGATTACTGAGAATGAGGATGGGGAAGGGCTGCGCACAGTAGCTCATGCCTGTAATTCCAGCTACTTCAACACAAAGATCGGAAGAATCACGGTTTGAGGCCAGCCCAGACAAAAAGTGAGGTAACAATAAGCCAGGCATGGTGTGACATACCTGTAATTCCAGCAACACAGGTGGGAGGATCACTTTTTGCCCAGACAAAAAGTGCAAGAAACTATCCTCACATGAAATAAGAGTTAAGGAAACCAGCCAAGAGATCACAGTGTCTCAGAATAGTGCAGAGATAGGAAAAGACACTGAAGTGGGTAGGAATGGCAGTTTTCCATTACACCTGTCAACTCCAGCACCACTGTGGAGAGAGCCTCCACTTGGGTGAAGGAGAGGGAAGTGAGCACTAGGCTTTGCCTTAAAAGTGAACACCAGCCCACCCCAGTAAAACTCAGCGGTGGGAAGCCTTCCCCCCAAACTGCCCCACCCCATCTCAAAGACTGTAAGCCAGTACCTGTGAACTGGACTTCTACTACCCTAGCACCAGGCTGAATCCCTGATCCAAGATCCAGGGCTGTGCCACCACCACCTGTATACTCAGTCTCCAGGCCTGCCTCATCACCAGACCAACCTCAGTGGCCCCAGGCCCACCCCACAGACCCACAGACTTGGCTTTTAGGCCCGCCCTAAAACAAGTTACAGGCTCATTACACTCCAGTCCTGCGCCGGGCTCAAGATCAGTCCAGAGTCAGATTGGCACCCCTGGCCCAAGGGTTTAGGCCTGTGCAGTGGCAGGCTGGCCCCAGTGCTCCAGGCTTCAATAGATCTCAGCCCAGGACCAGACACCATATACCTAGGTGACAGGCTTGTCCCAGGGGACTTAAGCATCAGGCCCTTCACAGTGCTTGGGCAGACCCTATAGTCTCAGGCTCAAGGCTCACCCCAGCACTAAGGTTTCAGGCCACCCCTGTGGAGCCAGGCTCCAGGCCCACCCCGAAAGTCCCGATCAATAAATTCAGCCAAGTGGATACAGGTTACAGGCCCAACTCCACAGACACCGGCACCTGGTGACCCCAGCACCACACCAGCTTTCCCAAGAACTCCAGCAGCAAGCCCACCTGTGGACCACACCAGACACCTGGTGAAGGGTTTTCCCAGAAAAAGACCAACACATAGCCACAAGAATGAAGAACAACCAGAGAAACATGAGCCCAAGAAACAAAATAAAGCACCAGTAACTGACCCTAAAGAAATGGAGGCTGAGGTGAGCATCAGTGACTCATTCTAGCTATTTGGGTGGCTGAGATCAGGAGGATTTGAGGCCAGCCCAAGCAAATAGTTTGTAAGACTGTATCTCCAAAATAACCAGAGTGAAATGGACTGGAGTTATGCCTCAAACAGTAGAGTCCTGCTTTGCAAGGGCAAAGCCCTGAGTTCAAACCCCACCTCCACAAAAAGTAAAATAAAAGGAGACTGGTCAGGCATGGAGACACCCACCTGTAATCCCAGAATTTGGGAGACTGAGGCAGACAAATCAAGAATTCAAAGTCACCCTGAGCTATGTAGTAAGAATGTCAGAAAGGAAAAAAGGGGAAAAAAGAGAGAAAAGGGAGACTAATGACCTGGCTGACAAAGAATTCAAAATAATAAGGAAGCTCAGCAAATTTCGAGAAAGTACAGAAAAACAATTCAATGAATTCAGGAAACAAATGATGACCAAAAATAGTTTAACACAGGTTAAAATTGTTTTTTTTAATGAAAAAAATCAAATTCTTGAGTTGAAAATGCAGTATCACCAGCAGAATTGATGAAGTAGAAGAAAGAATCTCAACTCAAAAACGGGTTGTTTGAAAATATAGACAGAAGAAAAGATGAAAGAATGCTTACAAGATTTGTGGGACCACATCAAAGAAACAAAATTCAAGTCATGAGGGTCGAAGGAGAGGAGGGAGGCAAAGGGGTGGAAAGTTTAAAGAAATAATGGTGGGAAGTTTTCCAAATCTAGAAAAAGGTATAAATATACAGGTACAGAAAAGCCAAAGTTCCCCAATCAGAGTCTGTCCAAACAAGGCTACACTAGTGTATATAAACAAACTGTCAAAGAGGATTCTTGAAAATACAAAGCAAAAATCAGCAAGTAACATATGAGAGAGTCTCAGTAAGGCTAATGGTGGATTTCTCAGCAGA